CCCCCGCCGGCCCGCGCTCGCTGCTCAGTACTGAGGCTGGTTGCAAGCGAGTGAGCCTGTGCACGAGAGCATGGACTCAGCTAAATCTCTCCGTGAAGCCAGCGTGCTGGCTCCATCCTCAAGCACCCCAAAAAATCTGTGTCTCTTCTGCGTAGAGGCGGTCGAGAGCAGGCTGGGGAGCTGTTACACAGCAGCATGGCTACTTGGGCAAGGTCATGTTGTGGAGGGTCCCTTCTCTGTAGGGGAGTGTTCCTCTCCTGTTGGCTAAAATACCTCTCTGGAAGCAAATCGCAACAAGCCAGTGGGGCTTCTGGCTGGGGTTTTAAGTGCTCCAGCTGTGCAGGGTGCCTGGGTGGTAGGACCATCCCCTGACCTGCTGGAGAAGCCTGGGATGTGGCAAGGAGGTGCTGCCCCTTTCCTGGGGGGTAGGGACAAGGTCAGTGGTCCAGGATGCCTTTCCCCGGCACCTGGCTGGCTACAGCATCCTCCCCGCAGCAGGACTCTGGAGGTGGGCCCTGCAGACCTGTTCTGTGTCTGTGTGGGCTGACAGTGACCTTCGGTGAGTCCCAGAAGGTGGGAGATCTGTCTGCTTGGAGTGGGTGGGTGCCCACCGAAGACCAGCGGTGTTTGACTTAAGGGGGAGAGCTGGGATGTGTCAGCACTGTTCTGGGAGGCACCGAGCCTCTCCTTCAGAGGATCTCTGTTCCAAATCCGTGGGGCAGGTGAGACCTCAGAACAGCAAGGGTCAGAGCTGTCCCTACATTTCCATACAAGGCTTGGGGAGTCAATGTGTTGTAAAAAGCCTTAGGGCATACCAGTTGCAAGGCAGGAAGAGTAGAAAGCTGCATATGTGAGCCAGGAATCATGTCTGGGAGCCTCCGAAAGCCTGCTTGGGCTTCCGAGCCAAGAGTGGTGGGCTGCTTTCCTCCCAGGGTGCAGTCTCTGGCCAGCGAGCATCCCAGCCCACGCTGTGCTGGGGCAGGGTGCTGGGAGCTGAAGTGGTCTGGAGTGGGTGTGTGTGTGCCACGGCTTCATCTCTCGCTAGGCACCACATGGGCACGAGTAGAAGAACTGGATTTTTTTTTATTGATGAAAGCAGATTACAGGGTGGCAGCAACCAGATGTTCAAACGCGCTGCAGGCAGCCTCCAAAGCACTTGGAAAAAATCCACCCTGCTTCGCTGGGCTCAGTTGTGGTGCCACAGAGTCTGATAAGTGCCAGGGCTGCCTGTGTCCGAGGGAAGCTTGGGTGAGCAGAGCCACAGGGAGGAGTGGATTCGTTGGGAGTGGGGGAGGCGTTTCAGGAAGGGTTTGATCTGGATACACTTGACAGAGTGTGGGAAGTTAATAAAAAAAAAGTCCAAAAAGCCCTGCTCTGAGCTCCTCTGAACCAGCGTCTGCCGCAGGCTGGGCCTGGAGGGGCAGGGCTGCCAGGAAGCATGGGGCTGTGGGAGGCGGATGGGACGGGGCTCTGCGGAGGGGCTCTCTGTCCAGGTCGCTGTCGCAGCCACGCCGGGGTGGTGGCACTTGGGGGAGTGGGCAGACCCAATGCTGGAGACCGTGGGAAAGCAGTTTCTGTGCCGGCTGCCTGGCTCGGACGAGTTCCCACACGCCTGCCGTGACTGCGCAGGTTTGGGAAACCTCTGGCGGGCTTGCTGGGACTCGGCTGGGCTGCACGGGGGGCGGAGGGCCGAGCCCTTGCCGCTCCTCTCTACTGTGCCGTTCCCCCAGTCAGTGGGGAACAGTTGGAGATGCCGGGGTCTCCGGAGCTGGAGGGGTGCTGTGGGAAGAGCACTGCATTTGCCACCCCACCGGCCCTCTCCAGACGCCGCTCCATCCCTCAGAGAAGAGGGGCTGGGAGAGAGGAGCCTGTTTCCCCCATCTGCTGCCTGCACTACCTTCTGTTTTGAGTTCACTCGTGTGATTTTATTTTTTGTTTTGACCTCCTCTCCTGCTGTCCCTGCAGCTCTCTTCCCTCCTGCTTCCTCACTGTGGTGGCTGGGCTATTTCCCCCATGACTCTCTGCGTCTAGACCTGGCTGTCCCGTGCCTTTGCCAATCAAACCTGAACTTCCTCCTCCAACAGGTCTGTATGGAAGAATATTGCTTTTCTCTATCAATATGTTGATTGTGGTGTGCTCATTCACTGTCCTCCTTTGGGAGGGGATGTTGGAGGGGTCCAAGCCAATGCCCCTCCCTAGATCTGTAGGCTGAGGACCTCCTGGGGAGGCTGCAACCTCGAGAGCCCTGGTGAGGACCTGGAGGGTGAGGAGTTTTGACAACAAAGGGGCTTGTGGAGTCCCCTTTAGGGGGATGCTGACCCACTTCGTCCCCTTTTCTAGGGAGGAAGGAGCTGTGGAGCTGGTGCTGTCTCCCCACCTCTTATCACACTGGGGAGGAAGGAGCAGATAAGCGACACAGCCCTCTCCCTCTGCCCTTCCCTGGAGGAAATAATGGGATGTGGGTCACTTCTCATTCTGCAGGAGAGTGTTCCCTGTTCTGCCCCAGGGACGTGCCCTCCCCTCCTGCCGCTGATGGCAGGCAGCTTTTCCTTGTAGGGGAAGTTTTCCTGCAGCCTGAGGAGGGCCCTTGTGGAAAGGGAGAACCTCCTTAGCACACAGCAGCCCTTCTGAACCTGGCCCAACTCCATCTGTTTGGTGTGACGGGAGGGGACCTTCTGCCCCCAAAGTGCCACTTCACCAAGCTTAAATGCTGGGGCAAGCAGCATCTGAGTTGTGCCTGGGGCTGTGCTGCTCTGAGACCCTCTTGCCAGCTCTCTGGTGGTGGGTGGGAATGGATGTTAATGCCATGAGATAATTTTTTTTCTTGTTCTGAGAATCTGTCTTAACAAAATCAGTCTCTTCTGACCGCTGTTCTCTCCTCCTTTCCTCCCCCAAATCATGTGCAGTGAAGAGAGGGCCTCCTGCCTTTCTGGGTCACTTTTCTTCCCCTCACCTTGACACCAAGCCGCCTCTGCTTGTGCCTCCCTGTGCCCTCTGCTCCTGCCCTGCCCACCCTGGGCACCCATCACCCATGGACGACTCGGAAGTGGAGTCGACTGCCAGCATTCTTGCCTCTGTCAAGGAGCAGGAGGCACAGTTTGAGAAGCTGACGCGGGCGCTCGAGGAGGAACGGCGCCATGTCTCAGCCCAACTGGAACGAGTCCGGGTCTCCCCACAGGATGCTGGCCCGGGCTTGGCCAACGGCACGCTCACCCGGCGGCACCAGGTAAAAAACCCCCTGGGCAGAGGTGGGTGCGGAGGCTCCCAGAGCCCCCGTCCGTGTCAATCCTGCCTTGGTGGGGGCAGCCCCGGGCCTGGCTCTCTTCCTTTGGCCCTCCTTGGAGATGTGAGGTGGAGGAGGGCTAGGCCAGTCTCGTAACACTGGTGCTACTGAAGGTGGTCTGGGGATGTGCAAACCTACCTCAGCAGCCAGAGCCTTCTGGGGAGAAGGAGCCAGCCTGGAGGGTCTTGCTACCAGGTCAGCTCTGGTTTGGTTTTGTTGGAGGCTGTCTGTATTCAGTACCCGGGCATCTTTGCTCCCCATCCTGCTCAGCTTATTGGAAGGTGGCTGAAATACAGAGCTTGGTGTCTAGCTGTGGGGGAGTACGTGTGTCTCCCTCCCATGTGACGATGGGCAAGTCCCTGGAGTCTCGGTTTATCCCTCAGACAGCCAAACCAGGGCTGGGAGAGATTTCTTTTTCTCTACAGGGCTGGAGATGTGGTTTCATCTGCCTTGGCTTGAGGTCTCTCTCCTGTTCTCACTTTCCTGGGTTCTGTTTTGGACAGGGGTTGCTCCGAGGGCTAGTGCGTGGTGTTGTGCAGGACACAGGTGCCTTTCTGGCTGTGGAAGGTGGTGGTGCTAGGAGAGATGTGTGGGTCAGGGGGAAGGGGTGGGCAGAGGGGGAGTGCAAGAATATCAAACAGTAGCACTCTGCAATCACCTGCCGAGCATCCATGCTGTTCCCTCGCAGTCTTGGGGGGCCTCTGGGATGTCGCTTGCAGCTCCTGCATCAAAAGACGTGGAAGGTCTCCAGGGCTCTGCTGGGGAGCAGGGAAGGGTCTCGGCTGTTCCACCAGGAGCGTCTGGGCATCGTGGGAGAGCTGGGATGTCTGGAGGGGGAGTGGATAGCATGTCCTCCAACTCTTCCCCAGGCTGGAATGGCGGATGGTTTGCTGCATGTCGCACAGACCCCCGAGGAGCCACCTCCGCTCCTGGGGGTGACACATGGGGTGCGCATTGGGTGTCCCTGTCAGATGCAGGAGATGGCCTGCTCAGGGCCTGGCAGGGAAGGCAGGTATGGATAAATGGGGTCCCAGCAGTGGGAGATCAGCGTAGTAACAGTCTTGCTCTGGTGCTGTGTGTTTCAGAACGGCCGTTTCTTGGGTGATGCTGACCTGGAAAGGCAGAAGTATCCAGATCTGAAGCTCAACGGGCCGCAGGTAAGGGGAACCGAGCCCTCTGACGCTGGGCAGGGGATGCAGGGGCAGGGTGCCAGTGTCTCCACTCTAGCTGGGAGAGGGAGACTTTTGTTCCTGTTGTGGCTGCCCTCACCTGAAGGGGCTTTGGGCGTGGGGTTGTTGGTACCCCCTCCCATGCAAGGGAATGTCAGGGCTCCCTGAGAGGTGAGATCTCTTGGCTGGCTGACTCCACGGAGACCCGTGTTGGCAGTGGGGGGCTGACTGCCCATCCCTTGCGCCCCTCAGGACCACAGCCACCTCTTGTACAGCACAATCCCCAGGATGCAGGACCCGGGCCAGATCGTGGAGGAGACGTACACCATGGAGGAGGACCCAGAAGGGGCCATGTCGGTAGTGTCTGTGGAGACTTCAGATGATGGGACAACTCGGCGTACAGAGACCACGGTACAGGCCTGGGGAGAGCATGGAGGGACAGGGCTCTGGCCAGGGACCCTCTGGCTGGGGTGCTACAGCTGTGATGTCTGCCAGCTTGCCATGTTGTGAGGTGAAACGGGGTGTGAAATCTGCCTGGAGTGAGGTGCTGGGCTGGAAGGGGAATCTGGGCATGCAGGGGTGCGGTAGATTTCCTGATGGAAGTGTGTCCTGCATCTGTCCCTCTAGGTGAAGAAAGTGGTGAAGACTGTGACCACTCGGACGGTGCAGCAGGTGCCGGTCGGGCCTGATGGGTTACCTTTGGAAACCTCCCCTGTCACCAGCAACTATGTCCAAACCATGGACAGGAACTTCCGCAAGAACGGCAACGGGGGCCCTGGCAGCTACCTGAGTCAGCCAGGCACAGCCACCCTCCCTCGTAACTACCACTACCCCGATGGCTATGGCCGCCCCTACGAGGACGGCTACCCAGGCAGCGATCACAGCCACGGCAGGCTGTCCCGGGGCCCCCG